CAATGTTGTTGCAAATAAATTGCCTTGATTGACCTAATACATCGATATTTATATAAAAAAAATAATTCTTCAAATATTATATTTTATATATTATTTTAAACTATTCTTTATATTTACAATTAATATTATTTAAAAAAAATTAAAATAATAATAATAATATAACTGTGTTCCAACAAACTAAGGCGATATTTCTCAAATTCACAAATTTTATTTATGTATTTTAACTCCAAAAATATCATTATCATTGTTACGATATTTTTACTCCAATTTATAACTATATTTTACTTCAAAAAAACCTATTCTTCCAATATTATATTTTATATATTATTTTAAACTATTTTTTTAATATTTACCATTAATATTATCTTAAAAAAAAAATTAAAATAATAAAAAATAATACTGTGTTCCGACAGACATTTCTTCTTAATTGTTTTGGGCTTTGGATGAGTTATTGGGTGTTTTAATTTAAAATTATATTATAAGCCTATAAAAATTAATTTGATAAAAATTGAACCTGACGTGAATCGAACACGCAACCTTCTGATCTGGAGTCAGACGCGCTACCATTGCGCCACAGATCCTGAGTGACTACTTGTTTGTATTTAATATATTTAATTATATTTTTCACATTATAAATTTGTTTATTAATATAAAATATATTATAAATAATTTCTTAATTGTTTTAAAACTTGAAATAAAATTTTAATTAATAATAATATTTTTAGAAATTTTTATTAATTAAAATTATATTATTAATGAATATTTTTAATTATAAATATATTTATAATTAATATATACATATATTAAATATTTTTAAAATAATAACAATTATTAATTTAGATACAATTCATTATGTATGTGCTAACACACATTCAATGTTATGTTAAGTTTATTAAAATATTTATTATTAAATAAATATAAAAATATTATAGTTTTGTAGTTAATTTAGATCAAATTTTAATAATAATAATAATAATAATAATAATAATAATAATAATAATCATAAATGATATCAAGTGTGCATAATTCGCTTATGATACTATAAGTAATTGTAATAAATAACAATTGGAAAGTAACAAAGAAAGTGAAAAATCTCTGTAAATAATACTCCTCCGTCCCATATACCATATCTGTTATACTGTAGATACGGTATTTTAAGAGATATATAATCAGTAGATAATTAAGAATGTATTAGTGAAAATAATTATCATATAATATATATTAATTATAAATTAAAAAATTTAAAATGAGATTAAAATGTGTAATTATTTTTCAAAAAATGAAAATGACATGAAATGTGAGACGGATAGAAACGATAATTTGGACATGATATGTGGGACGGAAAGAGTAATAATAATGAAGAGCCATGTTGGAAATATTTTACTAGTAAAATATGAGATATAGGGAAATCTAAAAACATGGATGCGAAATTAAATCCGAACCTCGCGTGGAACGCTATTTTTTTAAAAAGAATTCAACCCTTATCGATCATCTTTAAGGATATAACAAATCAAAACGGAATAAAGAACAAAAAAAAAAAAAAAAAAACGGTCCATTCTTGCAAACCTAACCAAAAAAAAAAAAAACTTTTGGAAAAAAATTTGCAGAATTTTGATTGAAGAGATAATTTTTCAGAGATAATTTTTCAGAGAGATTTTGAGAATTAATTTTTTTTAATATTTAAAGGAATGGGGAAGAAATATATATATATATATATATTATTTTCATATATGAGATTATTTGTATTTAATCAAGTGAAAAGAAAAACGGTCCATTCTTGCACGTTGCAACAAATACTTTTATATGATTATTTAATTTTTTCAAGTTAAAATAAATTAATAAGATAAATGGTGTATTTGACAATTAGCTCATAGCTGTTGGTTGTTAGCTAATTCGATTAGCTGATGGTTGTTAGCTAATTCGATTAGTTGTTAGTTGTTAGCTGATTCAATTAGTTGGTTTGACTAGCTGATTCGATTAGTTGTTTGTATTAAAGTGTTTGGTAAAATAGCTGTTTATACGTAAAATGACAATTAAGGATATTTTATATTTTATTTTTAAAATATTTAATTGAGTTTTTTCGGTGGGTAGATTTTTTTTATAATTTTATTATTAATTTAAAAATTTTAGTAAGATATTATTTTTTAAAAAATATTTTGTAAAGAATTAATGCAAATTTATTGAAAAATATATATTTTTTCATTAGAAATAGTATAAATATAAAAGAGCAAAAATTATTAACATATGTATTTTTATTAGATTAATTTTTAATTAATATATATTTATATTATTATAATTTTAAATAAATATATTCAATTTTAATACAAATATTATGTGATAAAAAATACTATAATTGATTCTAACAATATTAATATTTTTTATATTATCTTTATTCTAAAAAATTAAAAATAATTATAAATAAGATAATTGACATATAAAAAAAATAATTATTTAAAATTATAAATATGAATTTATAAGTTATTAGAAGAAAATATATCTATATAATTAATAAAATAGTGTAATAAAAAATATATATGAATATATGTGAAAAAATTAATTAATTGCAAATAAGAAATAAGAAAAATTAAAATAAAAAAGCTCATCTGAAATGTTGGTATACAGAGCTTTTTCAAAATTAGCTTTTTGGACCCAATAAGCTAATTGAAAACACTAATTTACTAAATATCAAAATTAGCTAATTTAGTGGTGAAACAATTAAAAACTTTTCAATAAACTAAAAGCTAAGCTCTTAAAAAAACTGTTTACCAAACACACTCGAAATTGGGACAAATATCTTTATTTCTCTTTCACATATTCAATTAAATACCCAACAATTCATCCCATCAATTAGCTTTAATAATAACAATATATGCATTGAAGATGTTTTTTTTATTTTTATATTTATTTTTATTTTTATATTTATTTTATTTTTTTATTTCATTTTTGTTTCTTTATTATTATTATTATTATTATTTATAAATACTCATGTCTACTTTAACAAGTATATATGCACACACGTTCGTTCGAAAATCTGAAATTTGCCTTAAACCCTTCGCCAATTACGTTGGATATTACCTGCAGGAGTTTTTGATACTATGAAATGGTGGCATGTGCCAGAGATTTGATTCTGTCAATTTTATTTTATTTTTTATTTTTTAACAAGTGTTCTATTTACTAAAAAAAAATTGTAGTGCCTCTATTTAAAATTTAAAATTGCATCATTATCCAAAAAATTAAATAAATTATTTAAAATTTAAAATTTAAAATATCATCAATATTCAAATAATTAAAATTCAATTCAATGAAAATAATAAATTTATATGTTAAAGCATAAATATACAAAATAATATTATATTATTATTATTTAATAAATTGAATCTTATAATTTATTCTATATTAAAGTTTATATATTGTGGAATCAGTAAAAAAAATTTCTGAATTCGCAGCTGTTGAGCTCCATTTGCATCATCACCTATTGAATGTATATATAATACATATATGTATACATAATAGATGATGATGCAAATGAAGCTTAAAATAATTTGATAATGTTGATGTAATAACCCTTGCGTACGGTGTAATATAAAAGTAATGACATTTGTGTAATATAATATAAGTTGAAAGGGTATTTATTATGTTAGATAGGTAGTACAATTACTAAATTAGGAAATGGTAAGCTTGTTTTGGGACGGACGAAAATAGAAAATGGTAACATTTCAATGGGACGGAGGAACTATTATATTAATTTTCAATTTCTATTTTGGTTCGTCACATCACATAGTTTCGATTTCTTTTTTTTAGTAATTATACTATCTACCTAACATTGCAAACATCTTTCAAATTTTACAATATATTACACAAATATCATTACTTTTATATCATATCATACTAATAAGGTTAAAGCAAATCGATAAATATATATGAGACGAAAGAATATTATATATTACTATATCATTATTTAATTATAACAAAAAATTATATTATACGTGCTTGTTAAAAATTTGATATGATATTTTTAAATTATAAATTAAAATTTCATATAAATTAAATTATATTATTTTTAATGTAATCATCTAATTAAAAAATTAAGTGTCAGATTTTATTTAATAAAATAAATTTATATCTATTATATTTATTTAACATTACAAACGATATTGATCTTGTAATTTATTATAAATAAATAAAATTTATATAAGAATAATTATTTTATTTTTAAATGATTCAAATTTTTTACATATAATTTTATTTTTATTTTTATGATATAAATATATACAATGTTTATTTAAAAACAAACCAAGTCATACCATTTATTATTCCTATATCAAAATTGAAGTTTTATTAATAAATTAACAAAATTTCATTAAATACTTTTGTTTTTTTATATTTACATATTATAGGTATTTTTACCAAACTTATTTTATTTTTATTTTTTTCTGCTTAATCAAATACAAAAACAATATTTTTCATGTCTCCCAATCTTTTTTTTTCTATATTAACAAAAACATACTATTACAATTTTAGTACATATATATACTTCTTGCGTTCCAATAGAGTTGTCTTATTTTTTCATTTTTATCCGTCTTAAAATAATTGTCTTATTTAGTAATTGTGGTTCATACTTTATAACAAAATTATTCATATTTTTTCAAACTACCTATAATTATTACTCTAATTTATTTTTTAAAATTATTCAACAAATAAGAATATTAGTATTTTATTTTCTAACTTTATACTTACTTTTAATTAAATATTATTACTTTTTAATTATGGTATCCATTTCTAAATATTTTTTCTGGAATTATTTCTTTTCTTCCCCTCCCCTCAACTCCATTAAAATTACTCTCTTCGCGGCCGCTCATTTGAACCATGTAGTAATTTTGGAGGGGCAATATAGTAACAGAAGTCAAAGAAAATTATCCGCTAAGACGCAGCGCATCGTATGTAGCGTGGTTATCTTTATATATATATATAATGTTAGGGGAAAACGGGAATCGTTGGCGATGGAGTACAGCGCTGTGACGTTGGAGAGTTTCTCCGAGCTGGAGAAGCAATGGATGCACCACTGTCAAGCAAAACGGACGCGTGTTCTCAGCATCGACGGCGGCGGAACCTCCGCCGTCGTCGCTTCCGCTGCTTTGGTTCATTTGGAAGAGCAGATCCGAGAGAGAACAGGTGATTCCAACGCTCGAATTGCTGATTTTTTTGATGTTGTTGCTGCTACGGGAATCGGAGCTCTTCTAGCTGCAATGATTGTTGCGGACAACGGTTCTGGCAGACCTCTGTTCTCCGCCTGCGACTCTGCTCGGTTCGCGATGGTGAATCAAGCAGAGCTGTTTAAGGTGAGAGGTGTTGGTGTTTTCCGGCGACGGAAGAGGTGTTCTGGCCGGAGTATGGATAGATTGTTGAAGGAGACTTTCCGGCGTGGAGATGGTAAGGATTTAACTCTCAGGGATACTTGTAGGCCTCTCCTTGTCCCCTGCTTCGATTTGAATAGCTCCGCGCCGTTCGTGTTCTCCCGTGCCGACGCCTCCGACTCGCCGAGCTACGATTTTGAGATCTGGAAAGTGATTCGCGCTTCATCTGCAACACCGTCGATGTTCAAGCCGTTTAAGCTTTCGTCTACCGACGGAAAAACCTCTTGTCTGGCTTTGGATGGAGGATTGGTTATGAACAATCCTACTGCAGCTGCAATCACTCACGTTTTGCACAACAAACGTGATTTTCCGTCGGTGAATGGAGTCGACGATCTGGTGGTGCTCTCAATCGGTAACGGAGCGTCTAGCAATTTCACGTCGGAGAAGAAGCTCAATCGCGGCGGCGACTGCTCGACTGAGTCAGTCGTCGGTATTGTCCTCGACGGAGTCTCCGAAACCGTCGACCAAATGCTCACCAACGCATTCCTCTGGAATCCAAACGATTACGTCAGGATTCAGGTAATTACGAAACTTTTCCGATCACTTCCACCGTCGAACTCTTAATATTCCGGCGACAATGATTTTGCAGGCCAGCGGCGGATGCAAAACCGCGGCGGAGGTTCTGGCGGAGAGAGCAGTGGTGACGTTGCCGTTTGGCGGGAAACGGTTACTGACGGAGACTAACAGACGGAGAATCGACGGCTTTGTCCAACGCATCATTCCACCGGGAAAAATTAGACAAACACCGACACCGTCTCTTAACACCGTAAGTTAACGGTCGTTACTAATGCCAATATTCCCCTTTCCGACTTACCATTTCATTTAGCTTCCGTCTGTTAACGGGCCTATATGCTCCCGCATTTGCTCTTATTATTAGGTACTTTCATACACTATTTGGCAGTGAATTTACTACTCCGTAGAGACAATAGAACCATTTATTAACTATGTCAGATGCTTATCAAAATTTGAAAATCATTAAATATTCGATTAAAGAAAATAATTATTTGATAAAAAAAATAAATATATTTTTTAAAAATTTATAATTAATGAATAATACCTTTCTTTTGAAAAAAAAAAAAAAAAGTACATAAATAGAATGTAGGTGTACATACGCAAATAAATTTGACATGTAGTACCTAGCTATTACTTTCACCTTCTAGACTAACAAGTTATAATTGAAGTTATGATATGTAACTGTCTCTGTGTAGAAGGAATGGTCTGTCCCATTTATTTTCACCCTCCCATCCAATAACTGTATGTATAAATCTATACGTATATGTTCATACGTGTGTATTATTATTGTACTTTAAACTTACTACGTCCGTTCTTATTTATTTATTTTTTAACAAAATATTTTTTTACTAGTATAATATTTTAATATATAACGAATGTTTTATTTTTTTCAAAAAATATTAATATATAATACTTCATCCGTCCCGCTATAAAGTATACATATTTTTATTTTGGGACGTCCAATTACAAAGTAACAATTTCATTAAATACTCTACTTTTTTCCACAAATACCCTTACTTTACATCACATCATTACTTTATACCAAAAAACAAGAGCAAAAATGTCATTATACTACTTTTACCTACCTACTATAATTAAAATAATATTATTTCTTAAACTCCGCGCCAAAAGTAAATGTATACTTTATCCATGGACGGAGGGAGTATGACAATTATTTTTTTTAATATTATCCATATAATTTCTCATACGTTATACCAAAAATATATATATAAATATAAACACTAAACAAATACACCCATAAAATTTAATAAATATTGCAATTTAATACTTCCTCCGTCCCAAAAGTATAGTCTTGTTGTGTTGGACACGAGATTTAAGGAATATTGATATTATATTAGTAATTGGTAAAAAGTAAAGACAAATGACTTTTTTGCCCTTGTGAGTATATTGGTGTAATAAGTAGTGACAATTGTGTAATAATAATGAAAAAATAGGGGTAGTTTTATGATGATATGGTTATTTATGAAAATGAGACTATTGTTTTGGGACAGACAAAAATGGTAAACAAGACTATTATATTAGGACGAAGGGAGTAATTATTAACACTCCTTCCAAAAATTTTTATGTTGTTTTATGTGGACGTAAAAATTAAAATATAATAATATTTTAATGTTAAATTCAGATAGATAAAAAATAAAATAGTAATATTATGATAAATTTATCAAGAAGTTGGTAAAATATGGATGAATAAGAGTAAAAGATATGATGACAAATTTGTTATTATTGTTAAAATAAAAATATAATAAAATTATAAGTGAATAAAATATTTTACTAAACTATGCGTAGATTTGGCATATGAATAGATTAGAGTGTTGATTGTTGAATGAAAAAATTAACATAAATAAAATATTTGTTTATTTAACACCGCATAAGCTTTGTTAAATAAAATTACGTAATTATATTGTATAAATGTGCTGAATGAAATAATTAACACTATACTTTTTTTTTTTTTTTTTTTTTTGTACTTTTGGGGGTTTGGATTTTGAGCTGGGATTTGAATAGTAAAAATTTTGAATTTGAATAGTTGTATGATGTGATATAAATAGGTGTTGATGTGATCTTTTGAATGTAAAATTGATTTTTAGTATAATATAAAAAATGAAAAATAAGTGTTTGATTTGATATTTTTAGAGGGAAAAAAATTGGATAAATAGTGTAAATCCAATCCAATCCCCCAAACAAACACACCCTTAGCATATCCAAAACACGAAACAACATAGTTGTCTATTGAACACAACATATGTTTTGTTAAATAAAATCATTTAGTTGTTCAATAAGGGATGATCTAGTGGTGTGGGGAGTGAACTTGTGACCATGATGTATTCAGTGCGCATAAATTATGAAATTTAAAAGATAATTAAAATGTATACTTATATTTCCTAAAAAAAAATTGACAAATAAGGTAGAACTAATTGAAATAAAATGTGAGACGGATAAAGTATTCTCTCCGTCCCAATACAATAGTCTTGTTTACTATTTTTGTCCGTTCCAAAACAATAGTCTTATTTCTATAAATAACCATATCACTATAACACTACCATTACTCTTTCATTGTTATTACATAATTGTCACTACCTTTTACACAAATACACTTACAAGGACAAAAATGTCTTTTACATATATTTTTTTACTCACTATCAATATAATATCAATATTCCTTAAATTTCGTGCCCAACACAACCAAGACTATAGTTCCGGGACGGAGGGAGTATAATTTATAGCTGATTTTAACATATTACATGCACTGATACGATACAACTATTTGTTTTTTTCAACACGTTTATGCATTATTTTTTTTCATATAGTGTGTTGTCGATACATATATTATGTTTTTATTGTTCATATATTATGTGATAAGTATGACTATGTCGTACGATGTTATATTATATATTGAATTATATAATATTAACATAAAACAGACAATACATATTATATAATCAAATTCAATAAAATTTCCAATTGAATTCAACACATTACATGCATTCATACAACATTGCTATGTGTTATTATTTAACACTTAACTTGTTGTATGTATTTATATTGTATGTTGTTTATCTCTTATCTAAATATATAGTATTATTTCATTCTTTGACTAATAATTGTCTATTCACTTATATCTTGTAATATATACACATATATAGTATTAAAATTATTTCTAAATTTATATATAAAAAATAAAGATGAAATTGTCCAAAATTCACCTATGTTGGGGTGCAATCTCAAGTCCCACATCGAAAGTTGTGAAGAAAATTGCACACCTTATAAGTCCCAAGTGAACTCCGCTAGTATGAGGCCTTTTGGAGAATATCCAAAAACAAATCCGTGCGGGCTCAGCCCAAAGCGGACAATATCATACTAGTGTTGAGTTGACCCGATTAGATGGTGAAGTGGACTGGGTGGCATTGGGCATTGGTTGTGGTGGTGGGCTCGTCCTCGTGACCTGCAGATGCGGATGTGCCTTGTGGCGAAAGTCTCCTGGCGGTGTTGGGCCGGATTCTCCTTTTGGAGAATATCCAAAAACAAATTCGTGCGGGCTCAACCCAAAGCGGACAATATCATACTAGTGTTGAGTTGACCCAGTCCTAACAACCTATAGTTCAAAAACTTTGCATAATTATTTTTTTTATTTATTTAAAAAATATGTGATATTCTTTCATAATTTTCAAAATGTTATATCAAACTCCAACCATCTGAACTTAACAGAATGTACACAACATGCATCAATAATATTATATCAATGAAATGTTCCAATTTGAAATTCACATTATTTAGCATGTGTCACGCTTGCTCTGTTAGTAAAGATTTAATACAACATTTTGAAAATATAAAAAGATATCACACAATTTTTAAATTACTCTAAAAAATTAATGTTTCTAAACCATATATGAATTATGGATAATTTTGTCAAAAATAAACAAATAAATGCATATCAAGACAGAAAGATAATAATTATTAGTTTAAAGAGCCAATTTATTATATTATTATTATTATTAATATAATTTATTTTAATAAATAATACTCCATCAAAATTGAACAATTTGATTAAAATTACGACATTTAAAATGACGATGTTTAATTGGTTAATAATAATTAGTTATGATATTATTATAATATTATTTTTTTGTATAATTAATAATATTTATAGTTTTAAAGTAATTTAATATATATGATTACAAAAATTAAAATATATATTTAAATATTTAAAAATTATATAGCAATTAAAAAATATATGCAATATGAATATAATTTTGTAGAGAATAAAATACAAGTAAATAAAAAAATATTTTTGTTTATTTATAATTAACATAAATTAATTTTATAAAAGATGTGTAGTTTTAAATATAAATAAAATATTTATTTTTTTGAGGAGAGAGAGGTAGAAATAAAGGGATTTTGAGTGAGTCCGTGTTATTTATGATATTGTATATTATATAGCATAATTAAGTTGATTTATATTTGTTAAATATATTTTGATTTAATAGTTTTTATCAAAAATATAAAAATATCAATTATTATGGGATAGATAAAAATAAAAATAATATCACGGACTGAGTATAAAAGTTACATAATAAAAAATTGAAAAATGATCAAGAAAATAGAATAAGGGCAGGGCAGGCAATAGTACATCATTAATTGCCAAAAATACTATAATTAAAATTTGAAATATACTATCATAAATGAAAGTGTCTGTCCCCTACCACATCATTTATTAACATTATTAAATTCAGATCCAATATCGATCGCTTACCCGTTAAATTTTTTACTGAAATTTCAATATTTACTGTTGAAAGTGGACTGAATGTGTGTCTGGATTTTGATTGATGTTGTTTGCAGGTGGTCCGATCAACAGACGAACAGTGATGAACGAGCGAATTTGGGGCTAACATTTACTACTTCTCATGTCCATGTAATATGATCGTACTGCAAATACGAAAATTTAGATAGAGTATAACTAGTAAATAATTAAAAAACGTATTAGTAAAAATAATTATATATTAAAATTAAGATAATTAAATATTTTAATTAAAATTTTTAAAATTATAAAATTTAAAATGTAATTAAAGTGTGTGTTTGTTTGGGGATTTGGATTTTGAATTGAGATTTGAATAGTAAAAATTTTGAATTTGAATAGTTGTATGATGTGATATAAATAGGTGTTGATGTGATGTTTTGAATGTAAAATTGATTTTTTTAGTATAATAGTATAAAAAATAAAAAATATGTGTTTGATTTGATATTTTTTTGGGGAAAAAAATGAGATAAATAGTGGATTGGAAATCAAATCCCCCAAACAAACAAATCCAAAATGTATAATTATATTTCAAA